CCCAGAGTAGACTATGTCTAAATGGGCAGCATATAAGCTCAGTAAATAAATAAATAAAATCATCTGAATGGATGTTCATTTTTTTCAGACATAGAGCAGGCTGGGAAGCCTAATAGATTTTAAATTAATTATATCATTGTTTTAAGTCTATAAAAGTCTCTCTCCCACTTTTAATTAATTTTAACCAAAAAATAAACTTCCTCTAATACATTCTCTTGCTCTACTTTAGATGTTGCTTCTGTTCTCATTCTTTGTTAAAAGAGCCTTGCTTTTTTAATTAATGTTTCACTGCTGAGAGATTGGTTCCTTATGAGTAGGTATGCATAAAATGTTAATATAAATGCCTCCTTCTACTTAGATCAGCTTAAATTGGCAAACATAAATTATTCATACTTAAAGCACTGGAATATTGCGTCATCATTTAGCTTGTGTATTTAAGATGCATTCAGCAAAAAGAGAAATATGAAGAAAGTTGGCTTGGAATTTTCCGTAATGCTGAAGATGAAGTGGCAAATGGATCCAAGATGTTTGATCTGTTACTGGTGATGGGCGGCCAATTTTCACATTTTAGAGATGAGCAGATTTATTGCATCCTCAAATGTTATGTTGTAATAATTCTGTTAGCCTTATAGATGCCTCATGACTTTTTTTGTTACTGTTTTGTGTTTAATATTTTTTCCACAAGCAATAGAGTTACTCTCTAAAATCCATCTAGCACAGACAAGCTGCAGAAATTTTTTCACTCTTAGTGTCTAGATGTACAGTGGTGCCTCGACTTACGAACGTCCCAACATTCAACCATTTCGAGTTACGACCAGCTCCGGCCGCAAAATTTTGCTTCGATTTGCAGCCAGAGCTTCCAGTTATGAACAGAAAAAGGCGGGGAATTCAAATTGCTAACCGTTGGTAGGCGAAGAGGCAGCTTCTTTGTAGCTCTTTCACCCCAGCAGTTAGAGTGAGTGTGATTGGAGGAGGCTTCGGTAAGGGGTTGCTTTCTGCTTTTTAAAAACTGTTCTGGGTTGGTTTTGCAGCGTGGTTTTGGGCTGGATGGTGGGATTATATTTCTATGCTGTGATGGATCTTGCAGGCTTTGTTCATTTTTGGCAGTTTTCTCCCCTGTTTCCGATGGGTCTTGTGGGGTGTGTTTTTTGCTTTGCTTTTCTTGCATATCTGAAGGGTCTTGCAGTTTGTTTGTTTTCTGCTTTGGTGGGGTTTTTTTTCTTTTCCGAAGGGTCTTGTACGGTTTGTTTGCATTCTGCTTTGCTGTGGGTTTTTTTGTGCATTTCCGATGGGTCTTGCACGGTTTGTTTGCTTTCTGCTTTGCTGTGGGTTTTTTGCGCATTTCCGATGGGTCTTGCACGGTTTGTTTGTTTGCTTCTTTGCTTTTTTTGCATTTCTGAAGGGTCTTACACAGTTTTTCTTTTTTTCTTTTTTTCCCCCTTTGGCCAGAACATATTAATCTTGTTTCTGATGGGTCTTGCTCTCTCTCTCTCTCTCTCTCTCTCTCTCTCTCTCTCTGTGTGTGTGTGTGTGTGTGTTTTGGTGATTTTTTTTCTTCGGCTGGAACGGATTAATTGCATTTCGGTGCATTCCTATGACCATTTCGAGTTACGACCAGAGTTCCGGAACCAATTAAGTTCATAAATCAAGGCACCACTGTAGTTGGCAAAATGTTAATCCAATGTAAAATTTGAATTTGTATATACAAAATAATTTTCTCCTAGTTTATTAAACTACCATTTTACCATGTTTCAAGTTGGAAATGTTTTGAGCTTCAGGTATGCCAGATTAGTGAATCAGCTACAATCAACAAAGTGATTGTGCTGATGTTGGTTTTTGCTAAATCAGTGTAACAGAGTGGGAGCCTAGCTGGATTGTCCATAAAGTAGCTAGTTGCACATCACTAAAAGAGATGCTCTTCACCAAAAAGGAGGCTAAAAGAGGAGACTGGTTTTCATAAAATTAGCATATAGGCATATAGATGGAAAATCAGGAATGATTATTTTGGAATTAAACCAGAATTACACTGTATCCTAAAGGGAAAGATAGTGACCAGATAACCTATCTGCTGCTTAGCCTGCAGATGCTAATCATGGATGGACAACCTCAGATTCCTTTATCATCTTTCCTTTATGGTTCTTTAAATCTGACTTGGACTGGTTAGTTCTTCGAATGGAGTGACATGTTCTTTGTCATCCTTCCAAATGGAATACTGTCCATCCTATAAGAGGACATATGGATAGCCTAATGGTACAGTCCAAAGCGAGGCTTGTACCACATACCCCAGTTTCTGCTACATCTGGTTTAGATACAGCACTGATTTACAAAGGAGAAAATCAGCCGTCTGTTAGCAAGTGTGGATGAAGTGGTCAAATTGTGTTGCTACCTTTGTGGCCTTGTAAAGCATTTCCTGTATCCGGGATGACCCTTGGCAAAGGCCTATTGAATTTTACTGGATTCAGGTATCCTCATATTTTTCCAGAATCTAGCAATTGGGTGACTGTTCACTGTTCCATGTAATGAAATCCTCAAATAACCAGCCCTATGCCTTATGAATTCCATCTACTCCCCAGTCACACTTGGCTTGCATTTGGTTTATCTTTTCTTAAGGCTCTTTTAGCAACTACAACACACAGTAGGTTAGAAAATTATCTTGTCCTAAACAGATGATTCATGAAAAGTATTTGATTTATGGTCTTGCTTGTGGAGCACTGAACACTAAAGAGCTTAGGAGAGACAATAAATCTTCAGTAGATCTTCCTCCAGATCCTGGATTCTATAACTTCAAGGTGAATGTTGTTTTTAGCATGCTTCTTCTCCACAGTATCAAGGTGATCAGGTACAATTTGCATTGTCTTCTTTTTTGACCTATAGCCTTTTTAGGCCAATTTTTCAATTATATCTCACTTCCTGCAGAGTTAACAGGGGAGTTTTAGGCTTAACGTGTCAGATCTTGGAAAAACTGTTTTGTAGGACCACGTTTCCCAGCCAGTCTGGTCTGGAGCCATTCTGACTGGGGGAGATATGGATGGGGGAATGGACCGTTTGTTTGTTTGTATACAGGTCATCTAGCTACCAAGGCCACTCTGGATGGTTCACAGTGTAATAGATAACAATAATGCATTGAATAAGAACCACAAAAGCATAATAACAGTGCAGAAAATTAAATAACATATTAGTTAAATTAAACTAAAAAAAGATAGCATAAAAAATAATTAATAAAAACAAGATGGTGGAACTGATAACTTAAGAGCTGATCTCTGTGCTATGTTCATGTAGTATCTTGAAATGCCTGTCTAAATAGCCATGTTTTCAGAGCTCTCTTGAAGATCCCCAGTAAAGGTGAATTTTGGGTGGGAGTTTGTTCCAAAGATGATGAGCAACTTCGGAGAAGGCCCGGTTCCTGGCCTTCACTTTCCGGGCCTCTCTTGGGGTCAAACACCTTAGCCATCCAGCCTGGGATGATCAAGTAGGTCAGGCAGATCTCGCTGGAAGAAGGCGTTCTTCCAGGTATCACCAAGCTCTGTTTTGAAAATAATATATACATCAGTGGTTCCCAACCTTGGGTCCTTATGTTCTTGGACTTAAGTTCCCAGAAGCCTTCACGCTAGCTGTGTTAGCCAGGATTTCTGGACGTTGTAGTCCAAGAACATATGGGGACTCATTGTTGGGAACCACTGATATACTGTACATAGATATTTTTGTCAGTCTAATAGCAAATGCTTATCAGAGGGCAGTTGGCAGTGATACGGATGCTGTAAACATAATAAACATGACTCAAAACAATTGTACTTTAAACAGTTGTGCTCCTTGAAAGTATAGTTCAAACTGGGCTCGATTGTTCAGCTGCTTTAAGCCCTAGATACTGTAATTTGAGCCTGAAAACGACTTGACATTAGCAGGTTGGACAAGCCTGCCCTAGATAATTTGAGTCTTAAAACGACTTGACATTCAAAAAGCAATTAGCTGTATTTCAAGAACTTTATGCAAATCACTAACTAGAATAAGCTGAAGTTAGTTGATTGAAAAGAGGGCTAAGGATGCAAAAACTATATAAATGGAATTTGTCTCCTTGAAAATTTGTTTCTTACGGGAAATTGGTTCCAGAGAAGTATATGCTGACTGTATAATAATTTCTGGATTTGAAAGAAGTGGTATTGGGATGAATGCCAAAAGCTGACACTTTTTCCAAGAGCAAAAAAGCACCACTGATCTTCCATCTTCAAGTCATATTCTATAGTCTGTCTTCCTGCTGCATATTTTGTGGCTAAAGAGACCCAATTGCATATTCTATGGGATTTCCCCCTTAAGGATAACTGTGCTGCTTTCTTAAGGTCAGAAATTCAAAGAAGTGAAAAAAATAGCAATTAGAAAGCTGAATTTTGTCAAGCTTTCTAGGGTTTACTCATGCTGAGGCAGAAGTGGACAGAAATTATAGTCTGATAAATATCACAGGCTGGTTTCTACTGGGCCACACAGTATGTGTTAATATTCTTTTTTAGTGATAAAAATCATCTTGTGTATACTCCACAGCTATTCTGTGTTATAATTACAAATGTGCATTCTCACTTTGTAAATTGGAACTATCTTAGTGGAGCACCGAAATTCTTGTTCATATTTTCAAAAAAAGAAAAGAAAGGAAGCTTAGTATAGTTCTTCATTAGAGAGGACTCATCATTTGCATACTCCCCAAGCTTGGAAAAATTCTGGCTGGGGCATTCTGGGAGTTATAGTCCAGAAAAGCAACTTCGGCAGCCTCTAGAGAATAATATATATTAAAACTCATTGAAAAATAAGTAGCTGAACTGCTGCAGTATTTTCAGTTTGCTTGTGCTTAAGTCTTAAACATTTCCTGTGCTAAGTTTTGTGTGAAGATTTTTTTTCTTGTACATGTACTGTATAGGCCGATTATTTTTATAACATGTGACATCCAAAGCTTGTCTGAGAGATAAAACTTCATAAATACTTACTTTTTCCTTTCTCTCATCTTTTTTTTACAGGCTTTCGAAAAATAAGCCTCGATGATCTCCGAAAGGCTTATATTGTGAAAGATGTTCAACAGTATATTCTTCATCGCTTAGATCAGGAAGAAGCACTGAGGCAGCACCTCACAAAAGAAACTGCAGAAATGTTGAACCAGCTTCACATTAAAAGTAGTGGATGTTTCCTATATCTTGAACGTGTCCTGGATGGTGTAGTAGAAAACTTTATCATGTTAAGAGAAATACGTGATATCCCTGGAACACTCAATGGTCTCTATCTTTGGCTTTGTCAGAGGCTTTTTGTGAGAAAACAGTTTGCGAAAGTACAGCCTATTCTCAACGTAATCCTTGCTGCTTGCAGGCCGCTGACTACCTTGGAATTATTCCATGCTGTGTGGACCAAAAACATGGCACTGTCTATGGAGGAGTTCCAACGCAAACTAGATGTTCTATCAAAGGTTCTTGTTGATGGTCTTGGAAACACAAAGATCCTTTTTCACTATAGTTTTGCAGAATGGCTGCTAGATGTAAAGCACTGTACACAAAAGTATTTGTGTAATGCAGCAGAAGGGCACAGAATGCTAGCCATGAGTTACACTTGTCGAGCCAAAGATCTATCACCACTGGAGGCTCAAGAATTTGCTTTGCATCTAATAGATTCAAATTTGCAACTGGAGACTTCTGAGTTAGCTTTGTGGATGATCTGGAATGGTACGCCTGTCAAAGATTCATTATCAACATTGATCCCCAAAGAACAAGAAGTTTTACAGTTGCTAGTAAAAGCTGGTGCTCACGTCAACAGTGAGGATGATCGGACATCTTGCATTGTGCGACAGGCTTTGGAAAGAGAAGATTCAATTCGAACCTTATTGGACAATGGCGCTTCAGTAAACCAGTGTGATTCAAATGGGCGAACACTCTTATCTAATGCTGCATATAGTGGCAATCTTGATGTAGTCAATTTACTAATTTCTAGAGGTGCAGATTTGGAGATTGAAGACACACATGGGCAGACAGCACTTACTTTAGCAGCTCGGCAGGGACACACCAAAGTTGTAAATTGTTTGATTGGCTGTGGTGCTAACATAAACCATACTGACCATGATGGGTGGACAGCACTACGATCTGCAGCTTGGGGTGGGCATACAGAAGTGGTATCTGCATTACTTTATGCTGGTGTAAAAGTGGACTGTGCAGATGCTGACAGTCGAACAGCCCTGAGAGCAGCAGCATGGGGAGGACATGAAGATATTGTGCTGAATCTGTTGCAACATGGGGCTGAAGTTAACAAAGCAGACAATGAAGGTAGAACTGCTTTAATTGCAGCAGCCTACATGGGGCATAAAGAAATTGTTGAGCATCTGCTAGATCATGGTGCAGAAGTGAACCATGAGGATGTGGATGGGAGGACTGCTCTTTCCGTTGCAGCCCTCTGCGTACCTGCTAGTAAGGGACATGCTTCAGTTGTAAGCCTTTTAATTGACCGGGGTGCTGAGGTAGATCATTGTGACAAAGATGGCATGACTCCACTGCTTGTGGCAGCTTATGAAGGACATGTAGATGTTGTTGACTTGCTTCTAGAAGGTGGAGCAGATGTAGACCACACTGACAACAATGGTCGCACGCCTCTTCTTGCTGCAGCTTCAATGGGCCATGCCTCTGTTGTAAATACTCTCCTGTTTTGGGGAGCAGCTGTGGATAGCATTGACAGTGAAGGACGGACAGTTCTTAGCATAGCCTCTGCCCAAGGTAATGTTGAAGTTGTAAGGACTCTGCTAGATAGAGGGTTGGATGAAAATCATAGAGATGATGCAGGATGGACACCTTTGCACATGGCAGCTTTTGAAGGACACAGGTTAATATGTGAAGCACTTATAGAACAGGGTGCTCGAACAAATGAAATTGACAATGATGGGCGCATACCATTCATATTGGCTGCCCAAGAAGGTCACTATGATTGTGTGCAAACCTTATTGGAAAATAAATCCAACATTGACCACAGAGGCTACGATGGGAGAAATGCACTCCGTGTTGCTGCTTTAGAAGGCCATAGAGATATAGTGGAACTGCTGTTTAGTCATGGTGCTGATGTAAACTACAAAGATGCTGATGGCCGGCCAACACTCTATATCTTGGCTTTAGAGAACCAGCTAACAATGGCTGAGTATTTTTTGGAAAACGGTGCAAATGTAGAAGCTAGTGATGCTGAAGGACGGACAGCACTCCATGTCTCCTGCTGGCAGGGTCATGTGGAGATGGTGCAGATGCTGATCACATGCCATGCTGATGTGAATGCAGCGGACAATGAGAAACGATCAGCGTTGCAGTCTGCTGCGTGGCAGGGCCATGTCAAAGTGGTTCAGCTTTTGATTGAGCATGGTGCCCTCGTGGACCATACATGTAATCAAGGTGCTACTGCACTTTGTATTGCAGCCCAAGAAGGCCACATTGATGTTGTACAGATATTACTGGAACATGGTGCTGATCCAAATCATGCGGATCAGTTTGGGCGGACAGCGATGAGGGTTGCTGCAAAAAATGGACACACACAAATAATTAAATTACTGGAAAAATATGGTGCTTCTAGTCTGAATGGCTGTACTCCTTCTCCAGTCCATACAATGGAGCAAAAACCTTTGCAGTCAGTATCCTCAAAAATGCAATCCTTAACTATAAAATCAAACAGTTCAGGGAGCACTGGTGGGGGAGATACACAGCCTGCTTTGCGTGGCTTGTCCAATGGGCCAGCCCATGCCTTTAGTTCTCCTTCTGAGTCTCCTGATTCTACAGTTGATCGGCAGAAGTCCTCCTTATCCAACAATTCACTGAAAAGCTCCAAAAACTCTTCTCTTCGCACAACATCATCTACAGCAACTGCCCAGACTGTACCTATTGATAGTTTCCACAGTATGTCCTTTACAGAGCAAATACAACAGCATTCGTTGCCCCGCAGCAGAAGTAGACAGTCTATTGTTTCGCCTTCGTCCACAACTCATTCCTTAAGTCAGAATCATAGTTCGCCGAACAGTGAGTTTGAATGGAGTCAGGTGAAGCCCAGCTTGAAATCCACAAAAGCAAGCAAAACAGGGAAAACTGAGAACTCTAGCAAATCTGGTTCTGCTGGAAAAAAAGGGAAACAGAATGCCTCTTCACAGCCAAAAGTTCTAGAATATGAAATGACTCAGTTTGATAAAAGAATACCTCTTGCCAAATGTGGGGCCAGTGTGCCCCTTAAATCAATGCCAACTGACACCCCATGCAAAATTGTAATCCCTCCAGCTCAACAAGAAGTTGGCCGCTCTCAGCAGCAATTCTTAATTCACCAACAAAGTGGGGAACAGAAGAAGAGAAATGGAATAATGACAAATCCTAACTACCATCTTCAGAGCAACCAAGTTTTTCTTGGCAGGGTTTCTGTCCCACGAACAGTACAGGATCGAGGGCACCAGGAGGTTTTAGAAGGCTATCCTTCTGCAGAGACAGAGCTAAGCCTTAAACAAGCCTTAAAACTTCAAATTGAAGGAAACAACCCAAGTTTCAACTATAAGAAAGAAACACCACTGTAAGAGGTGAGCCTTTTTTCAGCAGTGTGCAACAAAGTAGTACTGTAGATAAGCATAGCTTGCTGGTGCTGATCTTGGCGTAATGAATGTAGAGTAGAGATAGGATATTCATATTCATCTCCAGGGGAGACGAATACAAATATTGTTGCTACAGGTTGGCCAGGTTGATTAGATACTCTTCTCCCTCCCCCCAGAACCAAACCGTCCACTTACCACTTGTGGCATGGTGTACAGGGCCTGTCGTTCACACCATGCAATCACAGAAGTAGTCCGGCTGAGGCTTCCCCAGCCCCTTGGAGTGCTCAGTGGAGTAGTCCGGCTGAGGCTTCCCCAGCCCCTTGCACTGCTCAGTGGGGAGACTCATAATCCCACCTCCTCCCCATCCTCACCAGATTGGTCAGCAGTGCAGGGAAGTAGAGAAGTCTTGGTTGAGCTACTTCCACAATTTGAACAGTGTGAATGATGACAGCTACACTCAGTAAGTGGATGGTCCAGTTCTAGAGGAGGGTCCATATTGGTCAGCAGTGCAGGGAAGTGGAGAAGTCCTGGTCGGGCTACTTCCACAATTTGAACAGTGCGAACGATGACAGCTGCACTCAGTAAGTGGATGGTCCAGTTCTAGGGGAGGGTCCAATTGGCCTGTCCACCTGTGGTGGCGAAATTCTTATTCATCTCCCCTGGGAGATGAATACAAATATCCCATATCCAATGTAGAGTTGTCTGTTGGAGAAAACTGAATTTTCTGACTTAAAGAACTGGAATGAGTTATATAAGCAGAAGGGACCTTGGTAGTCTTTTATTCCAACAAGCTGTTCAATGTCCTGTAATACCCATTCCAAATTTAAATCTGTAGGCTGCATTCTATCTCATAAGTAAACTGCAACTTTTCTCTACACTGAAATACTGTGTTCATTTACCTAGGACTAAGCTGTCTTGAATGCAATGTCAGTTGTAATAAAAGTGTGAATTTTTGCTCAAACTCAGTTTTCTGTAAAGATGTGTCAGATTGGAATTATTTAACCAAAATTTTAAGCAAATGGAAGTTTTAAAAAAAATCCTGTTCATGAACTTTACAAAACCAATCTGCCATCTTCTGATCTGAAAGATCAAATTCTCCATAAGAGATTCTCGTAACTTTATAGAGGTTTATTGTGTAGTATTGTACGAAAAAGAGGTTTGTGTGTAACTGAAATTTCCCCCTCCAACATGGTTAATTAGGTAGCATAATTATAATTAAGATAATTTAATATTCACATGTTGTCATTAAAGTCAATAACTTACCATTTTTTTAAAAAAAGTTCTTGGTACCAACCTGAGAGCTTAAAAGTATGGTGGGGGAAAATCTTGTGCTTTGTAAATGTCAAAATAATCACTTTCAAGCTAAAGGCTGCTGTGTGGTGGGGGGAAATCTTGTGCTTTGTAAATGTCAAAATAATCACTTTCAAGCTAAAGGCTGCTGTGTGGTGGGGGGAAATCTTGTGCTTTGTAAATGTCAAAATAATCACTTTCAAACTTAATCTCAAGTTATACAACAGCATGGGAATGTTGTCAGAGTAGGAGTTCTATTTCATCTCCTCCCATAACATTTGGTTCCAGGATCTTGTAATTCCTTTGAGGCTGTTTGTTCTCAGTTCCCACCACTGATGTGGGGTGATATGGGGAAATATGTGTAAATCTCTGGACATACTTGTCTGATTTCAGAAGCTAAGCAGGTTTTGGGTGAGGTGAGTGCTTGGAGGATCCACCAAATAATGCCAGGTTGTCCAGAAAAGTGTTCTCAAAGGCTTTCACGGCCAAGATCCGATGGTTGTGTGGGTTTTTCGGGCTGTTTGGCTGTGTTCTGGAGGTTTTTCTTCCTAATGTTTCACCAGTCTCTGTGGCCGACATCTTCCGAGGACAGGAGCTAGAAGATGCCAGCCACAGAGACTGGTGAAATGTTAGGAAGAAAAAACTCCAGAACACAGCTGAACAGCCCGAAAAACGCACAACAACCAACTGTCCAGAAAGGGTTGGGAAAGAATTATGCCTAAAATTCTGCAGAGCTATTACAGGCTTGGTATTATTGAGCTTTTCACAGCAGTCATCTTACTTTTTGTGTTCATCATTCCCTGGGAGGTATCAGTCAATAGTATGGGAAAGAGGGAGAGAAATTGTGAGCAACTTTGAATTCCTTAATTAGAAGAAAGATGGCATCAATATAAAAATAAACAGACTTGACAAGGAGTAGTTAGGTTTTGGGAGCAGTGTCTTGTCAGAGTATGCTGTTCAGTCCTATATGTATTGTTATATACAGCTGCTGATTTGTAAGTTTGAAAAGATCTAGTTGCAATGTACCATTTTAATTTTATTTTATTTTATTTTTAAGGCAGCTCACAGCACCATGAATTAAACAGAAGAGCTCCTGCCTTGAACTGTTTGTCAGCTGGGCTGGGATAAAAATATATCTTGGCTTATTGAACCACATTGAAAATTACGAATGTGATCACTGCAGTACAGCTTCCTTGATTACTGTAATGTGCCTAAAAGTTTTAAGGCTGCCTTCTTAAATGTAACCTTCTGTGCTTCAAAAATTTTATTTTGTGTACTTTGTATTTCATAACACAGAATAAGCACTTTCTTTCTTTCTTAGTAGCAAAACAAAATAACACTGTTTTTTTTTTCCCTCACCCAGGTGAAAAATTGTAAGAGCTAAAAATCTGGGTTTCCTTTTCGCGAAGGCTTGGGCATTGTACATGTGCCACAGTGGACTTTGTGTTGAAAGGCGATGCCTTCTATATTTATTTTATATTAATGTGGTGAAAGAAACTCTGCATACAGCCAAAAAGACAGGAAGCATCCTTCCTAACTACCTTAAGATTAAAGCAGCCCTTCAACACTGATGCGGTCACTTGTGAATTCCCTTGAATAGGTCTTTGTCCCCAAGATTAAATGCTATCTTTCTTCCTTTGACTTGTACCAACTCTGCTGCAGCCTAATTTTAGTCATAGCCCATCTTGTCTTTTTGCTACAAGTTCACATGGTCAAATCCACACAAGGCCTCAACCTCCCCAAAGGGTGGCATTAGATCAGAGCACATCTGGCACATCCATAGATAGAAAGACAACAGGCATGTACAGCCTATGCAGTGACTCCAAAATGACCTCTACAGTCACAGCCCTCTCTGTGTCCGATTGCTGCAGCTGTATCTGTGGGTGAGCCAACTCTTGCACAACTTTGTCACGGACACAGTTGCAACAAAGGTCACTCCAAATGGATGAATTGGCTTTAATGCAGGCCACACTTCTGTACATCTGGAATCACATCAGCCTTTCTGTAATGTGTTTCTGTGTCATTTGAATGTTTTCTCACCAAAAAAGACAGGACATTGGCTAAACAGCAGTACTTGTGTTCGGTTCTGGTTAGCAGAGGAGAAAGGACTGTAGCATAGTTCATCAAGCACAGTTCTTTTTAATCATTTGAAAGGCTATGGAGAAAAGAGTAGCTTTTTTAAAAAAATCATGAAACAGGTGCTCATGTAACCCATTAAATGAGGATGTACCTCTGTCCAGGCTGTCACTTTCCAATCCCTTTCGGTAAGCTAGTGAAGGTTGCCAATATAGCCATCAGTGAAACATCCTTGAACCTCTTTCCAGCATTCCCCATCCAATCTTTTGGTGCTTATTCACTGGAGGAGTGGAACCACATTTAGGTTTTCACATCCTCAGTTGAAAGAGTCTTGATGTATTTCTGTACTACAGAGTTACAGTAATTTGATACCTCTTGTGGCTCCATCCCGTGGCGTTCGGGGACTGGTTCTTTGCTGTGATATTTCGAATTCTCTGCTATGTCTCATAGTGCATTCCTTGGAACTACTGCAGAGAATTCTTAAGTACTACGCCAAGCTGCACATCTCAGTATTCTGAAAGATGAAACCATGGGAGTTGAAGTTGTACCAAACCGCTACAGTTCTGTACTTTGGAAATACTTTCAGTTGGAGAGCTCAGAAAAAAAATTGTGTGCAGGAGAAGATGGAAATAAATCCAGTTTCATATGAGGCAGCCACATATGTTCAAATGTGAATTTATTGGGAACCTTTGGGAAGAAGGGGTCTTTGACAAAACAGCTTGCTCTTTCTGGTAGCAGCTGTTCCCTGTCTGTTGCTGCATGGCCTCAAAACAGTGATATGTCACTTTCCATGATGATTAATTTATTGCCTGTTAAATGTCATTCTTCGATTCGATGTAAATTGTGCACTCTGTGATATCTGTGCTCATGCTGAGTAGTCAAATATGCTCCAGGACATGGTCTGTAGTCCATCTGGACCTAATGTTGTGCAAGTAGCTGTTCAAAATCTCAAGTTTCTTCTACTTCAAATGTAATTTTTTAAAACTACATACCTTTTGTACTTGCCATTCAGTAGCTACTTAGGAGAAAGAAAGGAAAATTCACAGGACATCTGCAACAACATTTATTTATTTATGTAAAATGCTGACCTCATCATACCCTATCTGTCTTGTGTGACCAAAAACAAAATGTGGAACATTGCTGGACATACTGATTTTATTCTTAGGAAACGGGTCAGGTTTATTCCTGCACTGCAGTGGTGTCACCAAGCTCATGTCTTTACTTTTCCTCATAGCAAAGAATCGAAAAAAAATCCCTTACAAAGGATAAATAAATTAGCATTTTGTATTTTTGCTGCCAAAATGTCAAGACCTATTCAGTGGAAGTGACAATCTATGACCTGTCGCTGCTGATGGAAATTTGACAAGAAGGAATAGGTACTATTCCTGTCACTTTGAAGCAAAGGCACCCCTCCACCTTCCTGAACAGGCATCCTGCAATTTGAATTGACATTCCTCTGTATATGCCCCACCCATTTTAATTTTCCTAAGTACTGTATCAATAATTCTGACATAAATTTCTTTCATCTGTTGGGCTTCTTACAAAAATAAACAATTTGGAAGAATGTTGAAGGAGTTAACTTCCTACCTGTTCAGAACCTCAAGTGCTAGCTGTTTGCAATACCGCAGAAGAATAGAACTTTTTAATTATTTGTACATTTTAATTATTAGACATCCCTAAATGTTGCCTTCTGTCTGTGTCTTGGCTGTTGCTGAAATTATATTTATTTAAATATATTTTATTATCATATGTATCTTATAATCTGGCCATTTTTACAAGAAGGCTATACATTGCAGAAACTTTTATGGTTTTCAGCAGAACAATCTCAGCATTTGAATAAGTTGGTAAGTGTAATATCCCACCCGGAAAAATGATCTAAAGAGAACCGAAATGAAAGTTCCTACGTATTTCTGAAGAAGCAACAGAAGAATGTGTGTTTCTCTATTGAAAAGTATCCCATTGACAAGAGTGTGAGATTGTTCTGCATTGCTTTAATGTATGATTTTAATATATTGGCTTTCTGTCTCTCAGAAATGGTAAAATTGCCTTGAAATATGGGCAGCTGTTGGAGAATTGAACTTGTAAATTGTTGGTTGTGATGCAGTCCTCCTACATCTTGAGTTAGTAGGGCTGATCAGTTTTAATTTAGCATAACTCAAGACTTCTGTTTGGTTTGGTTTTGTCCTACTCCACAAATTTCTGTATCTCTAGTCCTGTTTTATCTGCAGCTTTCTTACATTATCCAAAGTCATTACTTGAGTAAAGTAGGAAAATGTTGCAATTCCTGACTGGGAGACAAGGGAAAGGAGTGGTGAATTTTAATAACTGTACTAAGGATGTGTACCAAGGAAGCTATCACAGGGGAAAGAATGGTAAATTGATCACTATTCAACATGTAAAGATATAGCAAAGCCCCACAGTCCTTGTCATTATCAGTATTGGAAAATGTCTTTGCTTTTCCTTGATGCATTATTTTCTCTTGTCAGCTATGCTGCTATGCAAGTGTCTATTTAAGCTCAACATCCTCCATTGAAACTCTTCAAATAACATGGTGCGCTGATAAAACCTTTTTTCCTGGACTGGGTTGTAAATAGCCTAAAATGTACATTGAATTTCACACTGTAAAATTTTTATTTTATTTCTTGTATTATATTAAGCAAAATCCTTATGTATATGAAAGTGCATAATAAATATATTTGCTTTTCAGCAGACATTAGTTTTCACTTTCCTTACTCTTTCTTCATTCATGGGAAAAACAAGGCAGAGTATGTTTAGAAAGCTGGAATTAAATGTTTTGGATGATTAGGACCAACAAAGTTTGTTATAGTTTTATCTCAGTATGTCCCTCCTTAATCCTATATTAACAATCACTCTTATCAGATGCATATTACTTTTGCCTCGCATGATAATGTTCAACTGAAGGTAGAAGGTGAACTGGACATTGGTTCAAATCTTTTTCCTTAGCAAAGTATATAATGCTACAGTAGACCATTTAAATCAATGGGAATTTAGTGAGTAAACTCTTCCATAAGTTTCATGGATTCAAATGGGCCTGCTCTAACTATGACTTACTGTGCTAAAGTACGTCACAATTAAGAGTACGACCATTTTAAGGAAAAGTTGATTCACCGAATCTTAATTAATTCATTGTGTTTAGTGTGATTTCTTATGCTGAGCAACAGGCTTTTGGTCATTATCAGAGACTAGAAACTATAACAGTTCTGAGTAAGTCATAAGAAGACACTCATGCCCTATGCAGATGACAATGTCTGTGCCTAGTTTTAAAGAGAAAAACAATCTGATAGAGGGAGAGAAGTTGGAACAATGGCCAGTCTGAGAGGCATGATCCATTGTTGAATATGACTTCAGCTATGACATTAAAAGTATGACTAACTTGTCCTTTGATTTAGTAGATCTTTTATAATTTTGACTAAGTCAGGAGGATCCAGTCCATTGAATTTGCTAGATCAAACTGTAACTCTGTAGGCTTTTAATGAAACACTGACATTCCTGTTAGAAGGAAATTTGATGCTGGTCAGGGGCATGAATAAGCAACAGGACAAGGTTTCTCTCATCTGTATCTTCTGTATATTGGAACAGCTTGACTTGCCAAATTGCATTGGGACATTAATTGGCAGAGTAGATTATGTGAAGCTTTCCAAGGCCTTAAAGACAACAGCAGTGAAAGCTTGGCAGGGACACAGATTCTAACCCTTTGATGCCAGAGAGAGCCCTGATGCCAGAAATAGGATACATGCTAGGAAATCCTACTCTTATGCCAATGTTTTTATTATTTTCTGATAAGATTTGTTGAAACTGTTCATAGCTGAATGCTTTATAGTGACCCTATTTTACACTGGTTGCATATACTGTCTATCCATTGCATATTTGTTAATCTTATTAATCAGATACAAGCTTGTAAATCTATATAATGCAGATTTCCTTTGGAATGTATATGCATTCAAGATTTCCAATGATTTATCTTGTTTCATGTGTACAAGCTGCTTATCCTTAATCTTTTCCTTAAGAGGTTCTGGTGGGACTGTTAACCTGGTATGACACTGGGTAAGGACAGAAGTGAAGGTGAGGGGTGCCTGTATCATGTGATTTCTGTTACTGTACAGTGGTACCTCGACTTACGAACTTAATCCATTTTGGAATGGCATTCATACGTCAAAAAATTAGTACCATTTTCCATTGAAATGTGTGGCCATTTCAAAAAAATTGAATTTCCCACCCTTTTTCCCTGCCTTTTTGCCTTCGGGGGTCTCAAAGGGCTTCCTCGGATGTCGGGCAGAAAGCCCTTTGAGCCCTCTGAAGGCAACGAACGGCTCCATTCGCAATAATGCCATCGACTTGCAAACGGAGCCTCAACCTCGTCTGTAGATTGAGGCTCCATTCGCAAGTCAATGCCAATTTTTGCAAATGGAGCAGTTCGTAAATCGAAAAGTTCATATGTAGGGATGTTCGTAAGTCAAGGGTTGACTGTACACGATTTGCATTAATATTGAAAGTTTTATAAGCCACTTTATAAAGTGGAGTATAACTGTTTAGTAGTACGCTGATATCATTTGGAGAAATCATACTTTGCTCACCATTTCTAAATTACAGTGGTGCCTCGCATTATGACATTAATTCGTTCCAGCGAAATCGCTGTAGAATGAGAGCGTTGTAAAGCGAAATTAAAAAGCCCATGGAAGCGCATTAAAACGCGTTTAATGCGTTCCGATGGGCTAGAAACTCACCATCCAGCGGAGATCCTCCATAAGGTGGCCATTTTTGCTGCCTGTGCAGCGAGGAATCCATCCCAGAAAACAGTGGGGGGCCATTTTGTTTACCCGGCGGCCATTTTGAAACCGCCAATCAGCTGTTAGAAAATCATTGTTTTGCGAAGAATCGATTCCCGAAGCAGGGAACCGATCATCGCAAAGCGAAATTCCCCCATAGGAAACATCGTAAAGCGATCACAAAAGCAATCGCAAAATGTTCATCGTAATGCGCTTTCGTCATTAAACAGAGCGATCATAAAGCAAGGCACCACTGTAATGCTTTAGCTGAAGCCCTGTGATTCAGTACTGTTTATATGTTTTTTCTGCCAGTTATCATTTACTGATTATCAAAGTATGAAGGAATATAGATTTCTATGTTTCTTAATCTGGTTTTTTCTCCCTTCAGCTAACATTTTTTTTAATGTTGGATTTATATAAAAGGTGGGAAGTAGGAGTGATGAATTTTCTGACTGCTTTTCACTGCAGAGGATTTCTCATGTGCAAACAGTCATACTGGGTGGGGGCAAGGGGACAGGGCATGTTTTATTCCAGCAAAAGGAAGAGAAAAGGTCACATGTTTACTATTAGAGATACAGAGTCAAAGTCTTTTCTAAAAGTCTTGAATGTAAGGAATTTGCTAGTGCTTTCCAAGTCAGATTTTAAAACATAATTAGGAAGTGTTCCCACAAACATTTTCCATACATTTCCCTTGACATCATGGAAATCATCAGTTACCACATATTTTCCTATGGCAGAAAAAGAGGTTAAAGATCTGGTCAGGATTGTTGTCCACATGCCAGATCAACATTTTTCCCATCCTTGGCAAACATTAATACATACAAACTGGGAGGAGTGTTTTGAGTTGAGATGACATAAAAATAATCAAATCTCATCAAGTTGAGATTCTAGCCTACTCAAATACTACTGTGTGAATATAGAACATAGAATATAGATTTCATGAAAGATCTGACAGTAATACCCAGAGATATTTTTAAGATTAAAAATAACAATTATGGAAAGCTGTTGATATCAGTAGTTCCCTCTATTAGATTTGTTGGGAAATGAGATTTCAAGATACTTGCTCCCTGATTTACTCAGAAATAAGTCAATATGCATAGAGCTATTTTCAGTGACAGAAAGTAAATTTTTTTGTGAGGTAAAGTGTCAGATATATATTCTGCCTCCCCCGACAGTTTTATCCCCACTTCTAGTAAAAGGTTCCAATAAATAAGGATGACAGATTTGTGCAAACCTCATCTAGGAAAAGATGAAGCGCATCTAAGGAGAGGAGTATTGACTGCTTTGTAAAATGAGCTGATACACTCTCACAACTTCAGAACATCCCTGTATGTATTGGCATTTGGTGAGACTTAGAAGGCAATTTGCTACAATAATACTGACCTAATTATATCACTCCTTTTCCTGCTGGCTGAAAAAATTGAACATATCACTGAGAACACTTTAACACGGAGGTCCCCAGCCCCCGGTCTGCAGCCTGGTGCCCACCTGTGGCCTGAGCTGGACTGGGCCGTGGAGACAGACTTCCCCCCACACACACACTCACCCCCCACACAGCTGATTTGCACATGCACACGCGCTCCAGCGCACCCGTGCAAGTGCCACACCACCGTTTGTCCATGCCCGCCCGCACAAACACCATGCCACTGTTTGTATTCGAGTGTGTGCTTGCACAAGCACTGCACCACTCTTTGAGCATGCGCATGCCAGCACAAGTGCTGCACCGCCATTTCCACAAGTGCGTTCACACTCATTCACGCATGCGTATGAGCACGGGGGTGCCCCGCCTTCCCCAGCCAGTCAGCGAGGTTCAAACAAATATGCTGAGCATCAGAGCATTGAGGTTTTGTATTTCAAGACCTGGAAATGTTATGTAATATTGTATTTATGATTTCAGACATATTAACATCCATGGTGTTCTGGATGACAAGTTTGACCTTGTCATTACCCTATCGACATGTTGAACATTTCCTTCTGAGTAGTAAGTAGCATGCCCCAGACGCACCAATTATTACATACTAGGGAAAGGAGAGGCCTTTCTGTCGGTCCCACCATCTTCACGGGTGTGTTTGGTCAGTACACTGGAGATGGCCTTCTCTGTTGCAGCTCCCAGACTTCAGAACTCTCTCCCACAGGAGGCCAGGCTGGTCCCATCTTCGCTGTCCTGCAAAGAGGCAAAGACCTGTCACTGCAGGCAAGCCTTCCCTTAGTGACTGGCTGTCTGAGTGTTTGTTTTTAATGGGTTGTTGTGCCTCACTGCTTTGAATGTGTTCTTGGGGTTGCTATTGTTTACCTTTTTTTAGAGTGGTATTTGTTTGGTCCTTTTTAGTCTTTGTATTCTTACTGTTTTTAGCTTCAAATAATGTCTTTTAATTATAGAAATCACCTTGGGTCCTTTTTAAGGAGGATGGCAGAATAATCCTATTTTAAATACATAAATATTGCTGTATAACCTTCCACCCAGCCAACTCTCCAAAACTGGAGAGTTTCCCAGTCTTCTAGAGTAGAACTGGGGGAGGAAAAAACACTCCCTGGTTACATTGACAGTAGCAGTTCTGTCAGTGGAAACACCCCATTGTAATTCTGAACACAGAACTTTGTGCAGAGCTGGCTGTGTGGGGGAGGAAAAAACACTCCCTGGTTACATTGACAGTAGCAGTTCTGTCAGTGGAAACACCCCATTGTAATTCTGAACACAGAACTTTGTGCAGAACTAGCTGTGTTAATGGTATGTCACATGGTATAGTGGGGAAGGTTAGAGCAGTGGTTCACAATCTTGGGGCCAAAGGTCTCTGGGTGGCTTACAGCATTAATGGTGTGTCACATGGTATAGTGGGGAGGGTTAGAGCAGTGGTTCACAATCGTGGGGTCCACAGATGTTTACTGACTAAAATTCTCATATATCTTGGCCAGGACAGCAGGCA